TGTGTTGAACCGATACAAGTGCGTATCGTCCGGTATCGCATTGTATCGGTCGATACGCACCGATATCGACCGGTTCGCAGCGCCTTCAATTAAAAATTCATATTCTGCGCTAATAAAGTGATTTGAACCTGGGACGCTGCGCGCGTGGCACGAGAGCCTTAAGTTCTCCATCAAACCATTTGGCCATGCCATGCTTTGTGATATCTAACGAAATAACAAAGTTTTATTAATGCCTATCCAAATAAATAATCAAAATTTATGTTTAACAACCCCAATTAAAAATTAAAATAAATAATATTTAAAATTAGTATTTTATACAAATAAAATATTAATAGTAGAATAATTACCTTACTATTTAAAATTTATAAATTTGCACATGATATATATCTTACAAATTTTATATATTTCTATAATTATTAATTAATATTTTAATTTACATAAATGACAATATATTTATTATTTACAAAAAATAAAAATTTGTTTGCAAAATATTGAAAATTATAATATTAAATTGAATTTATCAAATCCATTAATCTACATTTATATGAAAAATTGATTTTTAATTTCAAAAGGAAAATTATACAAATAAAAATTTTAATAATGAAATAATTTTTTTAATAGTTAAAAATTATGAATTTGCATATGATATATATCTTATAAATTTTAACCAATTTTATATATTTTAAGTTAAACGTATATATTTTTATAAATTATTAAATGATAGTTTAATTTATATTTGAGAATTTAATATTTGGTTAACTTTTTTGTTAATGTTAAAATGTAAAAAACAATAAAATAGAAAATAATTGATATAATAATTACGATAAATATAATAAGTCCATCTTGGACTCTTAATTAATGCATTGTATGATATGTCTTTATGTACACTTTCTTATATATTTATACATTACTTATGGCTGTTTGACCATAAATTTAGTGTTATTTATTTATTTATGAAATTTACATGTGGTTTCCTAGTGTATCCAAGTTTTTCATATGTTTCGTCCTTATCCATGCGCTTCCAAAGCGTATCCGTATCCAAGTTGTCTAATACGATACTCGATACCGATACTTTAATCCTTGTTCTCAACCTTCTCTTGTTGATCTTGAGGTTGAGTCTCTTGTGGTTCCTTCTATTCCAATGGCAGAGCCTTTGTCTCCCAGTTCTACCATTCCTGCTCTTGGTCCTCCTACTAGTCCTCCAGTTTTCCTTACTCATCCTATTATTCAGAGGTGGTACTAGAGACAAAGGCTATGACATGATCAGGTTGTTCCCTCATCTACAGTTGACCCTTAGACACTCTCAACCCCCAAAGAGGGGACAAGTCTTTCACCACTTGTTCTAGAACCTCCATTCCCAAACTTAGACCTACCTATTGTTCAGAGAAAAGGTAAGAGGAAATGTACAACCTGTCTTACAACTCCATATTACCTATTGTATTTCCAATGACCTGTCTTATAGTCTGTTATCCCCATCTTATTATTCTTTCTTAGCCTCAATTTTTTCTTAGCCTATACCCAAGCCAGTTACAAAGGCCTTGTCTAAGCTAGAATGGAGAGAGGCTATGAGAACTAAAATAGAAGCACTTCGTAAAAATCATACATGGGATATTGTGGATTTGCCTCATGGGAAGGAACTAGTGGGATGTGGTCGAGAGTCGGGCGGAGCCCCCGGCCCAGCCACTAGACTCGAAAAAAAAAAGCAAAAAGTGCAAAATTTTAAAAAGGCGCATGCCTAGTGCGCCTTTTGAAAAGGGTGCGCCTAGGACCTGGGTGAGGCGCATACCCCAAAATGTGCCTCACCTGTGCACCTAGGCATGCCTTTTAAATCACTGATATGGAGTTGATTATATGGAGACTTTCTCACTAGTTGTAAAAATGACCACAGTGGGAGTTTTGTTATCCTTGCTAATGACTTATGACTGGCCCTTATATCAATTTGATGTGAAGAATTCTTTTCTTAAATGGAAACTTGACTGAAGAGGTTTATATGTCACTTCCACTAGGTATGTATGGTAAGGAAGTACAGGGCAAGGTATGCAAGTTGAAGAAATCTCTTTATGGTCTTAAGAAATCCCTACGAGCTTGGCTTGATAGATTCAGAGCTACACTTGTTGAGTTCATCTATACACAGACACAATCCGACCATACCTTGTTTGTGAAGAGGAGAGGAACTCAGGTTACCTTCCTCATTGTTTATGTTGATGATATTATCATTACAAGGAGTGATACATAGAAAGTTCAGGCACTCAAGACCAAGATTCAAAATATCGATATGTATCGTATCAGGGGCTTCCCAATACGCCCCTACAGGGGGTGTTTCAAGGTCTCGACTAGTTTAGAGGGTGGACGAACCTTAAACCGGCCCCTCTGAATCAGATTCAAAAAAAAAAGAAAAAAGCTAGGGATACTGTCTGATATGAATTGAAGTTACTAGGTCTAAAGATGGCATCTTCATCTGCCAATGAAAGTATGTGTTAGATCTTCTCACGGAAACTAGGAAATTGGTGCCAAACCTGTTTCTACACCTATTGATGCTAACCATAAAGTCTCAGCTGTTGATGGTGAGCTTTTGGCAAACAAGGTAGTGTTCTAGAGACTTTTAGGGAAGTTGATATACCTTTGCATGACACGACCATATATCTCATATGTTGTTAGTGTGATCAATCAGTTTATGCATGCTCCTAGTGACATACATGGCTGCTGCAAAACAAGTTCTGTGTTACTTGAAGGGAATTCCAAGAAAGGGCATCCTCTTCTCTAGGCATGGACACATGAAGCTAGAGGCTTACATAGATGTCGATTGGGCCAGTAGTTTTGATGATTGGAGATCTACATTGGGTTATTGTGCCTTGGTTGCAGGGAACATTGTCTCTTGGAGGAGTAAGAAACAGTCAATAGTATCTAGGTCTTCAACTAAGACAGAGTACAAGCCAATGGCACATGGAGTTTCAAAGTTGTTATTGGCTCAGGTCACTTCTAGAGGAGATTGGTATTACACATGATAATCCCTTAATGCTTTACTATGATACTCAAGCTGCGATCAACATAGCTCACAACCCAGTTCAGCAATGATAGGGCAAAACATATTGAAGTTGATTGGCATTTTATAAGAGAAAGGGTAGCTTCAGGAGAAGTTTGCCTTCCTTTTATTGCCTCAGAGCAACAGTTAGCAGATGTTTTGACCAAGGGTGTCCTCAAGGAAAAGTTACAACATTGTGTAAGCAAGCTGCATGATTGATATCTATGCTCAGCTTGAGGGGGAGTGTAGAGATAATCGGCCGAATGGGCCTTAGTTTCTTTGTTTTTCTTTAAGTTATGTTTATGACTTGTGCTAGTAGGTAGTGGGCCTTATTTATTGGCCTATTTTCTCTTTTTTATTGTTGTCTTTAGTGACGGACGCCCTACTAAGGGCACTCATGTAATTGTCCTTATTTTTTACAACAAAAGAATAAAAGAGATCATTGGGGGCTGAAGAGAGGTTTTGAACTACTCTCTTCTTCTTCTTCTTCCTCCATCACTTCTCTCTCTTCAATCTCCTCCTTTTCCCCTGTTTCTTTTCTTTTAATTCAGATTATTGTGGGTGCGATTTACAACTTGGAGATTTCTCACATTTGATAACCACTACTCTCTTCAAAAGTGCCATATTCTCTTAGGAATCTCCAAATTACTTACCAATGACAGCTTTACTCATAGGCCCTCATATCTGACTCTGGTCTGGAAATTCATTTCTATGTAAGTTGCCTAACCACAAATACTGGCATTCTTGAGAAGGAATAATAGACTGGAATGCTGGCAAGTAGCCTACACATTGATTTGCGATCTTATGTTTATTCATTCTCTCCAAACCGCCAAATTCTATTTTTTCAAGACTTCAAAAATTCCAGTTGTATCAGGTTTTATGTTATTTGTACCTGCATCACAAGGGAAAAACTTTTATTGATCCGTAGTCTAAATTTGAGGCTATGTCAACCTTCCACTTTCATGCACATGAAGGATGATATAGCTAGTTCAGTCTGTCTATCAGATTAAGTGAAGGTAAAATATGGGTTCTGTTGATTAGCACTGAATATTCAGTGCTATTTGGTACCGGAGAGAACAGAATAACCAGTCTGTCCATATATATCCCAACATATGTGGTTGGCCACTGAACCTGCACAAACCACCATTTCTGTTGATCCCATATAAAATAAATGGTTCCTACTGGACATATATGAATGTTCTAAGCACATTCATGTCAATATATAAAAGGAGGTGTAATTAATTATTTGCTCCCATTAAGATATTTATATGTATGCTGCCAGCCTAGTTGGTTATCTAGGCACTCAAAAATGCTTAAGTGATTGTCTTATTGACACCTTGGCAAAACTTAAACTACATTGAATTGAAAGTTGTTATGGGATAACTTTCTAATTATCATGAGCTTAACACCAATAATCCAGATATATAATATGGGCCTAGAGTCCAACAAATTATACATTAAATCCAACAGGCCACAAAAATATAGGAACAACAATCCCATTAACCTTAAAATAAGACAAAATAGTGGCTGACAAATAATTATTAAGAATAAACCTGTTCATGGGCTGGGTAGCCCGACGGGCTGGCCTGGCCCGGCCCGATCTAAGTCGGGCTTGGACAGGATTTCAGGCCCGTGGGCTCGAGCTCGTGCTTAAAACATCAGGCCCGTCCTTTTTGGGCCTGCCTTGGGATTTCTCAAAAGAGCCCAGCCCGAGCCCGAGCCTGACTTGATAATGTATTATATAATAAAACGTATTTTATATAATAAAAAAAAAAAATATATATATATATATATAATATTTTTTCTTTATTATTCTCTTTTTTCAAGTAATAGTGAGATCTTTCATTATTTTTTTAGGTTTTGAGGACTTTTAATATAAATAAACTAGTTTTTAATTGAATAAAAAAAGAAAATATTTTTTCCAAATTTCTGGCCGGCTCGGGCTTCGGGCTTTATATGAGGGTCAGGCTCAGGCTCAAGACCTAGGCCCGATGGTCAGGCCAGACTTGGGCACAGGCCTGAGCATATTCTGTTAATGTAAAGGCAAAGCCTGGCCCGTGAACAGGTCTATTAAGAAGGTAAAATGGATGGTAGAATAACAACTGATTGCTTACCTTTGAACCAATTTTGATCTTTTGCTTTGGATCTATCCCATACTCATTTGGGATAACACCATCTGCAAGTAACTAAAACAATGAAATGCAAAGCTTCAGGCTACTTTTGGTGATTATACATGAGACTAATCACAAAAAGTTATGAGCCAAGAACATGTGATTTGTGATGTGTAAGAACAAGAAGACTTGAAATTTATTATCTACAAGGACTTCTAGTAGTAGAAATACCTCCTTGACATGATCAAAATGCAAGGAGCATTTTAAAGGCAAAGGCATACCATTCCTAAACATTTATCTCCTTGAAAACTAGTACTAAAATAAAATCTATGCATACCTGAGCCACTTTAAATAGCTCGTCAAGTCCTTCCAGATTAAGATGTGCATTGTGCAAGAGATCATATCTATCAATCCATAGTGAAAATGTATAAATAAGCATGACACAAGTCAAAAAACACATAAAACAAGGATAGATATGCACTTAATAAAAAAAACTTCCTTGTTAATAGTTGGTAGAAAACAATGCACTCATATTAAGTTCAAATTGAAATTCATTGCATGCAACAGAGATGGTGAATCAATGAGAAGTAAAAGATAATTGGAGGTTCCAGATAGGCTTAAGCCTGAAATTTCATATTAAATTAAATGTTGCTCCAGAAATATACAACCAATCAACTGCTAAATTTTAACTGAAGATTAACATGTGCATGATAACCCAAGGAGAAAAATAAAACTGTCAAGCTCAAGGAGTGCACACAAATGTAAAGATGTACATAAGGATATTAGAAATAATTATGCAATGCATGCATAAATGGGGTGGGTTAAAATCTGCCCCATTCCTACTATATGGGTTTGGTATATCCTAATCAGGTTGGGAATCAGGTTCAGGTTGTGAAATGCCAACCTACCCTTAGATTGCTATTCCATGAGCATTTCAAGTGTTATTATCTTTTTTCACCTATTATTTTCAAGTGTTATATAGATTCTTTCATTGCTTCCATATCTGCATCAGCAACCTTGTTCAAAATGGAAAATTTTGTGGAAACTTCTATGAAAATGATATGTCCCGAAAATTTCACACACAATTCTCAGACACAAGGTAAGAACTACACAACTCAAATAAAGAGAAACTGGTATTCATTCAGAGGAAAGCATTAACAGTAGGTCGGTTCTTCGAGAGATCGCCGGCTCTCCCAAACACTCAAAATATTCTTCACTCCAAAAACATACCCTTCCCCATCCCTCAAAGACCCTTCTTATACTCTTCTGACAACATAACTGACTCCCCCCCCATAAATGCCCAGCTGGCCTAATTATAAATGCCCAACACTCTTCTTATTCATAACTGACATAGCTATAAATGCCCCAAGACTCTTCTTATTCCCTTCTGACTTCCTCAATAAATGCCCAGCTGGTAAGCCCCATGTGTTCAGTTATTTCCCCCCTTAACCGATTGCTGCCCTTTCCTTTTCCTAGCATAGGTAAGGTTAATTGGGGGCCTATCAGAAAATTGCATTTCATGCCGAGGATAATCTTGGTCCATGATGTTAAGCATAAATTAATTATGAAATTGAGATGCAAGAAACAAAATGATCGAAAGCATTTGCATTAACATACAAAGACATACACAATGTGCATCAGAACCTCACATCAACTAGCAGTACTACAAGAAAGCATAAGTATGAGTTTGAGAGTTGACCAATGAGAATGCAACAAAAATCACACACATACATCAAAGGTATGGTTTTTGATGAACTTTTCCAACTCTGAAATGATGTACACGATTCAACTGTATCACAAGATAGATTGGTGATTGGTCCACTAACATTTTTTTTGCCAAAACATGAACTCAAAGAAATTCCAGCATAGGGATGATTCTACATGAAGTATTATTATTTCTAAACACAACATTTTTAAACATTAGATTTCTACTGGCCAGTAACAAGAGGAAAACTATAATGTCACAATTTATTGACATGCATAAATATTAGGGTGATGCTCGGTACCATTTCTGTTTCTAACTGAAATGTTTTGGGTTGATCAACAACTGCTATTTGAGGCTGGTGATGGCTCAGTTGATAATTTCTCTGGCTAGTTGTAGCAGAGACTTGGGATCAAACCCTGCTGTCACCAGGGTTGGATGATGGGCTACCTGCCGTTGCATAGCCCCATGAAACTACAAAAAGGAGATATGAGGTCTCACATTATGAACCAAAGAAAATATGGTGTTCTAGAACCCAAAAAAGAAAATCTATCAAAAAATGAAAACTGTAATTCATATAAACAGCCTGCTGTAAGGCTTATTTAATTGTTACTTTATAGTTGCTGTTAGTAGGTTGTCCTCTTAAGATACTGTCAGTTAGTTATTTTTCCTTTTTTCTTATTAGTTTGTTTCTAGGGTGTGCCACCAGGGGCATACTTGTAATTTCTATTATTTTTTATTAAGTTAATATAAATAGTGAACCGGCGGCAGCCAGTGTATGTTTTTCTTTTTCTCTCAATCGTATCTCCCTTTCCTTCTCTTTCTCTCTCTCTCTCGTCTCCCACTCTCCATGAATGATTACATGGTATCAGAGCAAATTTTTGGGCTGTAAAAGAATTTCGGTCCCTCCTGTTTTGAACTTGTTTCACCTTTTTTTATTCCTTCTTTAAATTCTTAGACGTGGAAGATAGAGAAACCCTAGATTACTGGCAGCACCTCCTGTGGGTTCTTCCTTGGTCGTAATATCAAGGAAACCTAGTCGAAGAAGGGCGATGCTGGTAGAGACTCCCTTTCTTCTCTGTTCGATGCTGTGAAGTCGATTTCTGGTTGGCACCTTCGTACAGGTGCTGGACAGGTGTGTTCTTGTTTGTCTTTTTTGGCCAATGGTGTGAAGGCCTTATTCCTTGGTTCTATACATTCGTTTGGATGCTGGATTGTTAGACTGTATGGGTTGTAGTCGGACTGATA